ACCTTTCTGCTGTTGCTTATTTACTATCAATGCTATTAATTCATACATTTGAGCTGAGCTAGCATCCTCTGCACTTGTTCTGGGTGGGCATTGGGTTTCCTCCATACGTTTCTGCATTTGATTCTTTACTGCAGATATTATTAATTCAGGGATTTCTTTTTTCATTTCCAATCTGAGTTCCTCTATACCTTTCTGCAGTTGTTTTTTTTTATTTCAGAAGCCGTTAATTCATTTCTTTCAGCTGTGTGATTCCCAATTTGTTCTGTGTTAGTGTCCTATGCACTTTTTACGGGTGGGGTTGGGTTCTGAGGTTGCAGTTTGTTCCTTCTCGTCATTTTGTGTAGCACTGTCTTCTGACTTTTGTTGTAGATCTTCGTTCTAGTTATAAACTTAGCAAGTACTGAAGTTCCGGTGCAGACCAGGCTTGGGCTAGGACTGAGTCTGGGGGTTCCCGGAATGTGGCAGAAATTCCTACTGGACGGGCGGGGTGGGGAAGGTGCTGTGGAGTGGTTGGGGGTATCCCAAGGGGGTGGACGAGAGTCTCACCTACCCTGCGCCTCGGCTGGGACCAGTAATAGGTCCCGCCAGTGCAGGGTAGCCGGAAGGTCTCCCACACACTCACCTGGCCTGGGCTAGGACTGGATCTGGGGGTCCCTGAATGTAGCAGAAATTCCTGCTCGGCGGGCGGGGTGGGGGAGGATTTGCCTCTCTTTGTCATGCTTTCTCTTTATTTTTCCATGCAGGAATAACCTATAAGTTTTTTGTTTTTTTTTTTTTTAATAGGATCACCATTGTGGACCAAAGAAAAACTTGAACCAATAACCCTTCCAAATGGCCATCCTTTAGTACTTCCCTGTAGACCTCCAATTGGATTACCACCAGCTATAATATTTTGGATGGATAACTGTAAGTTTAACAATAAGAATTTTCTCTCTTCAAAAGTGTTATAATTATTTACTGTCACAAAAATTATTTACTCTTGGGATTCATAGAATATTTATAAAATGTGTTAGAGATGCTCAAACAAAACCAACTCTTAAAATAAATGACATCATTTTATTCACTCAATTGTATTGAATGCTTACTAAATGAGACACTAGTCCATATAAACCATATATCCTGCTGTTGTTGATCTTAGATTCTATGCAGTGGAAGTGGATGAAGGTGGGAAGGAGGCAAATAATCCATTTAGAAAATTTGTGTCCTTCAACAATAAATGTTATAAAGGAAAAAGAAAAGCAGAGGTTTGAGTCTAGACCTGAAAGAATGATGGGGCAAACCAGGGCCCTAAATACCTGAGTGGACAGAGGAGAGCACCAGGGCAAGTCCCATTGGAGAAGAATGATGTGTGTACAAAAACAAAAGTGGCCAATTTGAGAGAACCAAGGGTGAAGGTGATGGCAATAGGCAAGGTCAAGGAGGTCACAGGGACTCAATGGAAATGGCTTTTGCTTGTGCTCTCAGGAAAGCCTGGGAAGAATGAGCTATCTGAAATAGCAGTAAAAGACTCTACTCATGGGTGAAGCCCTCAAGGGCAAAAGAAAGATGGAGTCTGGGGAATAGGCATTGCTGTAATCTAGACAAAGCTGATAGTGACTTGGCCTTGGCTGGTAGAGGTGGAACGTGTCAGGTTCTGTAAATGCTCTGAAGGTAGTGCTTCCAGGGTTTATGGTGTAGGGATAGGAGCATGAGAGAAAAATCAAGAACAACTGATACAATTAAATTAACTTTTCTGAAACTGCAGAAACCCTTTTGGGAGAGGAAACTAAGTTGTTTTGAATGCACTATATTTTTGTCTGTTTATCCCCAACAATAGCTATGTTTATTGGGCCTCTCTTAAGTGCCAGTTTTCCTGCTAAGAACATCATATGGCTTGGCCCATTAATTTTTTTACCAAAATCCTAAGTGGCATGTCCAGTTATTTTTTATACTTTATAGATGAAGAAAGTGAGGCAAAGAAAAATTAAGCCATCCATTAGGCAGTTTCAGATTTGTCCACCTGTTTTTCTATTAATGAGTGAATTGGTTATTGTTCTGCCTCTTCCACCTTGCACAGTTTCTTATGCTAATAAGTTAGCATGGTAGCTTAGAAAGAGCGCATGGTTTGTCTTGTAAACAAAGAAACCAGAGTTTGAGGGGGAAGAGATCTATACAACACTTTTGATGAGATACCCAGAAAGAGTGTCATGAGCTGTAACCAGCAATGTGTGCATTGTTAGTGTGTAGAAGGGGAACCTCAACGCATGGGGCTAGATGAAAATTTAAAGAATGAATGCCAGTGGGAGAGAGATGAGCCTGGAAACTGAGACCAAGAGGCTTCCTAATGCCAGGAACTTAGGGAAAATGCAGCAAAGCAGATGAGAAGGAAGAGTCACTTTGGTAAGAAAAGAACACAGAGTCAATGGTGTGTCAGAGACAAGAACTGTGTCAAGAAAACAGTGATAATTGTTTCAAAAGCTGCTGCTAGGTCAGGCATCATGGAGACTGAGAAATGACTATTGAGCTTGTCAACATGTTTAGGTAGAATGGTGAGAATGAATTTAAAACATTTGTAGAAAACCTTACCTTCTGTTAGTGATCTGATTTCATGTGCAATTACAGGTTGTAAAGATACTAAAGGGAAAATTTGGTTCTAAGACTCGGTTTTCATTTTTGATTCTTCTTATATGAAATCAGTGGGAAAAGTATCACAAAGAAATCAAAAACAAATATATACACTAGTAAATGTACAAATACATTTTTTCCTTTCATTCAGATTTTACAAGTTTTGAAAGGATAAATACATGTAAATTAGTGACTTGTGACTTTGAGACCAGCAGTCTCCTAGTGTCACTGCCAAAATGAGTCCCAGTTTTTGGTCATTGGCTTTTATTCAGGAAGGATTTCTTTTCTGTTTCATAAGGAGGCAGACCATGTGTGAAGTCTCAGAGTCATCTGAATACGTAGCTAATTTTTTCGCACATTGCCCATCTGGCTGTATCATTTACATACATTTTAGGCTGTTGGCAAAGCTTCTGTCCTTTCAAATGGAATTGCATCTGGAATGTGAGAAAATTTTAGATTCATGAATGACTCTTTCAAGATGGCATTATAAAATTATTCATATCTGCATACATTTTTTCCAAATGTAATACAGAAAAATCTTTGAAGTATAATATTATGCCATCTTAATAAATCCCACTATCTTACATTTGATCTACCAACACTCATGCATAATAATGTACAGCAGGGGAAACAAAAGATAGGAAGTATACATGTATCTTTAGTTCATTGTATTCATCAGATAGGTGCACATGAGTATTTTAAAAATACTCCTTTCCCAGGGGATTAATGGTTTGAAACTATTAATTTGCATCTACCAATCAAAACCCCATCCTGACCAATGACTTGCTTAACATGTTAACCTAATATGTTCTTTGCAAGCTCTGGCTCCTTGGTGTTTTCCTGCCTTTTTCCACCTGTGGGAGCTAGAAGCTTTTAGCTATACATTTACATTTTATGTAGTGTTATACCAGGCATCTGCCACAGGGGGAGCATGGCTGCTTGACTCAAACTGAATAAATCTTAACAGAAGATATAACACCTGAGGCCACTGTGAGCTGAGATTTTTCCCGTCACTTTCAAACTGGAGAACTCTCACATTTCCTGTGCTGTGAACTGAGTCTGGAGCTTAAGCATACAGTTTGGTTTTGTTTGTGACTGTGCAGTTCAGGCTGGCCTTGAACTCACTTTGTAACCCAGGCTGGTCTCAAACTCACAATGATCCTCTTTACTCAGCATCCTAAGTGTTGGGGTTACAGGCATGCCTGTCTAGAATGCAGTGTAGTTGACAGAGGGTAATTTTGTGCACCTATGAGGGAGCCTACATCCCTGCATCGTCCATCCTTCATCTGAGTAAGAAATCATTTCTCCATGCCTAACGCTAAAATGTTCCTCAACTGGACCTAGAGGAAGTAAATTGTCATACGTGAAGTGGCAAGTCAGCTGCTGGTTATACATTTAATCTTTCCACATGTGAAGGAAAGGCCAGTACTGGTAGGATAAGAAATATCTCAAGATGTACACCCTCCTATAGATTAAATTCTTTTGCAGGGAGACAGGCAAGAAGTCATTCATATGATCAATGAAAGATATAGTATGTCACAAGATAATAAATAATTCAGAAAGGAAGAGGAGAAGGAAACTGTGCCTGGGGCCTTCTAAGGCCTGGCCACAGCATTATATCGTTGTCATTGCACCCTATTGTTAAATGCTCGATTGCTGTTGATTTTTCAGTGAGTTCAGGTCAGACAGAGCTGGGGCTCTAGTATGTTCACTTCTTTGTTCAAGGCCTACCTTGTATGTAGATGTAAGCCATGTTACCATCCTTATAAAGCCCCTTATTATGTTTTCTAAGATATGTGCAGATGGGGACTAATTTAAATATTAGGAAAAATCATACAAAATTTTTGTAAATTGTTTTTATTTCACATTGCTATGTGACCTCAATCTCACCTCTATCTTATCCAGAAAAATTAGGATCAGACAGGTACATGTAGTATTTTAATGGTCCTGACATTTTTAGAAATACTTACTTGCTTTTATTTAAAGAGCTTTCTTGAAACAAAAAAAAATGTGTTCAAATGAAGTCCACAAATCTACTAGTAGCAGCATACATCTTGCTAATTTGGAGAGTGGTATCTCTGTGATGGAATGACTTGAAAATCTCTTCGCCTTTCTCCAGCCTTCCAAAGACTTCCACAAAGTGAAAGGGTTTCCCAAGGTCTGAATGGAGATCTTTATTTTTCCAATGTCCTCCCAGAAGACACCCGTGAAGACTATATCTGTTATGCCAGATTTAATCACACTCAAACCATACAACAGAAGCAGCCTATCTCTCTGAAGGTGATTTCTGGTAAGAACTAAGCTTCCTGAATCTCTTTGAAAAATGTTTACACGTGTGAAAAAATATTGACTATTAAAATATTACTGTTGTTGAGGGAAACAGGTTCTTTGATCAGGAAACTATCTGTAGGCAATCACTAAAATGTCGGTGTATGTGTTAGAGAATGCAGTACCCTAAATGCTATATTTTCCACTATTCACTGTCATTGGCATTAGTGTTTCCATGGTGACCCTTGGAATCAGTTGGTGTTATGAGCATGGGAGTTTGCTATAAGCCCCACAATGCCTTTCACTTGACAGGCCTTCAGGGTAAGAATAAGTTCCCGAATAAGTGGTTGGGGTGGTTAGATGAATGAATGAGTTAGTTATGTGCAGTGTAAAGCAATGCTTTTACTTGGGAAGACTGGCATTTAGCATAGCTGGATACATTTGTTTTTGTTGCCCAATGGTTTTTTACCCTCTCCCCTGTTTTTGTGCCCTCTTCATAATATTCTGTTTATTTCAGTGGATGAATTGAATGACACTATAGCTGCTAATTTGAGTGACACTGAGTTTTATGGTGGTGAGTTATGGTGATTGTAACTGATATTTTCTCCTTCATTGTAGACTTTAGTTCACTAACTTCACCTCCATGGCTATTTAACCTTTTATTTCTTTATGAAATTTCTAGTTATATGTGTAATACCACTAGTATAAATGTATGTTTTTTATGAAATTTAGCTATCAACTTTCAAGCATGTCACTAAAACATTTTCCATGGTGTATGTATGATAATGAAACTCGTTATTACTGTTTTCATGTAAAAAAACCATCTCACATGACTTGAAAAAATTCTACATATATGTTGAGAATTATATTTTCCATTTGTTGTCCTGTTCATAAACTTTTCTCATAAGCTAAATAAGATTTGTCTGGTATGCAATAACCTTCTGGAATACTGAGGGATCAGAGCTTTTAGCATAACTAACATTAAATTGTTTTCATAATAAGCCATCACAATTTCCATCCATTTTCACATGTTATTTAATATAATTAACAATATTATTTTTCTTGATTTTGTTTAAAACCAAGTCGCTATCTTCAATGGAAGTAAAAATTTAAAATATAGAGCTTTTAACTTCATTCCTGTAAACTGAAAAAAAAAAAAAAAAAGTTTCCCTAGTAGAAATGAGGCTCTCAAGTATAAAATCCGTCAGTGAAAATAAATGTTCTGGACATACGGTACTCTTAATTATCCATGAAGCAGAATTTCTGCAGTATTAAATTTTTACTCTTGAAATGGGAATTTTATACTACTGGCAGTGACATGACACATTCCTGCCTTTTCCTCACCGGTTAATATACTTCTGAAAAATGGGCCTCAGACCATTCCCAAGGTGATTTTAGAGAAGACTCCCCACCATCTGTAATTTTTAAAAGCACTAATTTCTCTCAAATAATACTTTACTTCATACAGTGTTCAATGTTTTCTTCTGAGAAATAAGAATAATTCATATATTCCCAAATTTTTCCTTTAGCTTTTTAGGTAATTTATTTCCAAGTTGAAACTGTGAAGGGCTACAGAACCTTAAGATGTTGTAACTTCCTCTTCAGCCTACTCTTTCTGAGAGGCCTTCAGAAGATAAAGGTCATGTTTTAGAAAAGTCCACAGAAAAGCATAAATAATCCCTAAGATCTCTGACTTGGTTCATCTTTATTTTGTCATTGAGGAAACTGATTTCAGTTTATTTAACTTTACCCTTATTCTTAATTGTATTGATTTACTTATGTATTAGGGGTACTGGGACTTGAACCACAGGTCTTGCTCATATAGCAAGTACTAGCTATACCCACTGGGCTGTAGCTCCATCCCATTGTTGTTCTTAATTTATAGCATACTTCTTTCCCAGACCTCTGTCAATAATTCTCTAGTTTTGCTTTATTTTATTTTCCATAACCCTTGCACTTTGAGAGTTTTGCTATATTAATCAGTAGAGTTGGTTATGATGTTACCGCCAGATTAAAAGCAAAACACTTCTTTCATGATACCTTTCTGAAAAGTCTAAAATCTTCTAGAAGATAAATAAGAAATTTTTGCTTTGGCCAGAGTACCAATATTAAAGAAAATAAATTAATGACATGCACAGAAAATTTGTGAATCTCTCATAAAACCTGTAAAAACTTTATCTCAAATTTTAAGAAATGCATAAAAAGAAAAAAGTCCTTACATACAAGAACTTACACAACCCAAGTTGTCTCTGTTCATGGTTTACAGAGTGAGTGATGGCCATTTATAAGGCAGAGAATGGCTGTATGTAGCTTAACGCAATCAATGCTAAATGGATTTGAACAGGAATTAGAATTTTAGACTGCTTTTCTTTACAGTGACTGTGTCTATAATGCATATTCATGATTTTAATGCATATTGATTTCTTCTTTGCAGCTAAATCAAGTAGAGAGAGGCCACCAACATTTTTAACTCCAGAAGGCAATGCAAGTCACAAAGAGGAATTAAGAGGAAATGTGCTTTCATTAGAGTGCATTGCAGAAGGCCTGTGAGTTAATACTTTGTGTTGATGCACATCTCTTATAAAAAACATAAGACATTAGCAGAGGCATTCATGTCATAGGAAGTCATTGTCTTATATGAATTTAACCAACTATCAAGAACAATTTAGTAATTATTTTCTAATGTATGACTCTTGTATTGTTAAATTATTTTGTTAATGTAATGATGCTCATATTGAAATAGGTAATAGTAATCTTATCACTGTGTTACAATAATGGGATATAATTTTCCATCAGTAACAACCACCTCAAAATTAAGTGGCTTAAAAATGAGTTATTTAGCATTGATCATTTATACAGCAATCAGCAGTGTGCTCGTACTGTTTACCCATGAGGTTGAGCATGCACATGCTTCTCTTGGGCCGTAGGTTTCTGGCTCCAGGGTCTGTGTTGTCTCCAAGATGGGGCACCTGAGCTGTTGGCCATAAGTTTCTCGTATTTCTTCCCTGGCTTGTTCTCTTAACAGCAGATGCCCACAGGCATCTCAGGCTCTACTCTCAGAACACACTGTCCCATTATTTCCTGCTAGCAGGCCACAAGGCCAGCCCTGGTTCTTTGAAATGCCTCATGAGTGCACACCTCAGAGATGACAGATGTTGCAGGAAAATTTCCCCCACATACGAGAACAAGAACTGTCTTAGGTTAGGGCCATATTGAGTGGGATTTCAGAATACTGCCTGGACATTTGGAAATCCTTGCTGTCCCTGACCTAGTCACTGGGTGATCTCATATTTTGTACCATCCAGGAGTAACAGTACTTCAGCAGGCATGTGGAGGCCTCTGCTGGCCAAATCAGGAAATGGCAGGATACCCCCCCCCCCACCTTCAGTTAGACTGAAACATCTCTTTTCAAAATTACATTAAAATCCTTCTTTTGCATCACAATTTTTTTTAAAAAAACCTTTTTGAGTTTCATCATTTTGTTAGAAAGTGTTTTAGTGGACAAATTCCAACCTGTTAGGAGCAGAAGTACTTTCTTACAATTTAGTGAACTTTCTCACAAATGATATGTAAGTTGAATATTCCTTTTCTGAGATATCTCGGACCAGAATTATTTGGAACTTCAGGTTTTTTGTGTGTATATTAGAATATTTACAAGGTTTTAACAGTTGAATTTCAACATGACACTTAAAAATTTTTCCGATTTTGGAGTAATCTGGACTTCAAATTTTTGGATTAGGTGTGCCCAGCCTATACTATATAAAATATAAAATAAAATATAGATGATATTTAGAAATTTCACAAAAAACCTCAGAAACAATGTTTAAAACTTTGTAATATTTTTACCCAAGATTGAGACTCCATCACTTATAAACCAACAAGCATTAGACTCAGAATCAAAATATTCCTAACAACTAACTGCTCAGGTGAGTAGTCGCCCTCAAAAACAACCCAAGGCTTTGTGAGGGGTAAGCCATTACATTGTACTTCTAGCCATGTCCTGTCTCAGCTTCATACTATGGAATGCAAATTAGTTTTTCAAAATGACTTTACATCTTCTATCTTTTTAAAATTCACAGCATATTTTAATTTTGAAAACTACTTCATCAAATATATATTTCATAATATACACACACATAAGTGGGCTTGGTTATTTCTGTTTACTTAAACCAAAATCATTGTTACAAACTGTCAATTAAACCCATTTACATTTCTCATGGTGAATATTGAGATGTTTAGAAAGCCTGATTATTCTGCCCTCATCACTACCTTCCCCACACACAGATCAATTCATAGTTTAGTGCTTAAAACATGTTTGACTGTTTAAAACATGTTGAATGACTTTTACTTTGCCCTGAGGAAAACTTTCTGAGGTCATTAGATTAAGTCAATCAAGCATTCTTATCCCCATTAAGGCAACTAACGTAACTAAGGGTCCAAAGAAATAAAGGATCTGTGGTCAGAGAAAAATTTAAGGACAGGGATAGAACTTAGAAGATCTAATTCCTAACCTGTATTCAGGCTCTTTACCTTTTTCTGTATTTCTAGATTTAATAAGAAACACAATTGGATGAGAAGTAATAGAATATATTAACTCAGCCTATTCTTAACAATTGTAATAGTAGTTTTAACTATCAGTAGTCTTTTTTTTTTTTTTTTCTTTTAAAACCAAAGCATTTATTTTGAGAGATTGGTGCAATTCTCAAGATGGACTGGACACTGCAGCTGCTGCTGTCTTGGGTTTAGGTGTCGTTCCTTCGCAGAAGCCAGGCCTAAATATGCGATATACAATTTTTAGGTGCCTCATTCGACCAGTTCCAGTGGTATTTCACCTTTTTAGCCTTTGCACTCCAGTTATACTTTCTCTTGTGCTTGGCGGGATAGCCACATTTGCCACAAGTCGACTTCTGAAGGTGGTAGGCCTTAGAGCCACAGCAGTGGCACAACATGTGCGTCTTATTATGACGCTTTCCAAAGGATGACATTCCCTTCGTCATCTTGCTTGTGCCACCTAGACCAAAGAGCTCATTATTCATTAAGGACAGAACACTAATTCTCTAATCATTTCTTTTTCTAAACCATTTATTTCTTACTGTCAGATAGTCTATTATAAAACAAAATTGTTTCCATCTGATACGAAAGTGTATGTAAGAGTTTGCTTGGCACAGATATACATGTGAACTCTTACTCTGTACATTTCCAACTCTAGCTGATGAAAATTATAACTCAACATCATTAATTAATGGTAATTCTTTTGATTGACGTAATACTTCCATGTAAAAGTGCCCAAGAGTTCCTCACCAATCAAAGTGTTGAAGAAAATAATCAAGTCCCTTCAATAAAGAAGCTCAAGGAACACTGTGTTGTTGAGGTTTATGGTGTGCTGTAAATTATGGTTCTGATTTGTGAAAATGTTAATTTACCAGGTCAAATATTGTTTTAGACATTTCTTATAAAAATGTGATGCTTATTCAAGTATCTGTATGTTTTTCATGATTTTCATATCAAGGATTTGTTATGAAATTTACCCTCAAAAGTAATGACAGGTGAACTTTTCTTTACCACATCATTATTTATTTATCCTATCAGGCCTACCCCACTTATTTACTGGATAAAAGAAGATGGAACACTACCTGCCAACCGAACCTTTTATCGGAATTTCCAGAAAACCTTGCAGATCATTCAAGTATCAGAAGCAGACTCTGGGAATTACCAGTGTATAGCCAAAAATGCATTAGGAGCCATTCATCATACCATTTCTGTCACGGTTAAAGGTATACTTTATAGCAAATGCATTCTTCTTGCTTTCATGAAAGGCTCTGAAATTCAATTAAATATGACTTTGATCATGTTCTTCAATAATGAAATATGAATTTATATCAACATTCATGGTGTCTTAAATCTTTCCTCAATGCCATTGATAATGGATCTACAAGTTAAAGATTGGCTCCTTCAAATCTTTCTCACAAAGGAATTCCAGTTAGTAAAGTTAGCAGAAATGACGAAAATAGAAGATAACCATTATAACCCCACAGTGCTAACTGCTTCAGGAAAGATACTCTGACAAATGTCAGGATTTGTGAGTAAAACTTTTAAAAGAAACAAGACATTTTCATAGCTTCAAAGTGTCCCCCTCCAAAAAATTAATCACACAGGTAGTTTTAACATATACCCACTAATTCTTTCATATCCCCTCCTCAAAAAGATGGACCTTACTTCCTTTCATCTGGAGTGTGGGTTGCACTTAGTGACTCACTGCTGACCAATAAGTGCAGGAGAGTAGTAGGTCTGCAGTGGAGACAGTAGTAGGTCTGCAGTGGAGACAGTATCACCTTAATTGATAATAGTGCATTGTGATCGCATGTCTTCCTGATATGTTGCAGGCAGAAGGTCCATTAACAACTGGGTCCAAGACCCAAAGCCTCAGGCTAGCCATGAGATAGCATCACAAACATTCTGGTTGAAAGATCTACCAAAATAACAGATTTGTGTTCTTCAAAGTATCAAAATCATGAAAGATGAAAAGACCAAGAAATTGCCTCCTCAGAAGATGCTAAGGAGACAGGATATGTTGAGGCAGTGTGGTATATGGGACAGGATCCTAGGACAGAAATAAGACTTGGCTGGAAAAACTACACTGATACTAATAAAGTCTGTAGTTTTGTTAATAGTGTTATACCAGTGTTAATTTCTTGTTTGACAACTACAACTGGTTATGTAGGATGTTGACATCAGAAGAACCTGGTAAAGGAAATATGGGAATTCTGTATCCTACCTTTGTATTTTTCAAAAATGACAAGTTTTTAAGGTACTTCTTAATTTTACAATTATATGTATTTTACAGGTCTTTAATTTTAAATTTATGAGTTGTTTAATATTCTTTTGAATATCCAAAATGTTCTTTAAAGCATTATTTATAAATATACTAACTCTAAAAAATAAAACTAGACCCTTTACAAAATATATATACTTATTTTTAAAATAGTTCAGTATATTCTTTACTGTAAGCTGAGTCAGATTTTTGGTCTGTTTTTATCCCTTCAATAAAGCGGCTCCATACTGGATCATGGCACCTCGAAATCTTGTGCTGTCCCCAGGGGAAGATGGAACCCTGATCTGCAGAGCTAATGGCAACCCCAAACCCAGAATTAGCTGGTTAACAAATGGAGTTCCAATAGAAAGTAAGTTTCCTCGGTGTGCTCTATTTGCAGGATATTCCCGAAGCATATCTACTGCATCTCCACAGTGGACAAGTGGTGATAAAATAGTTCCAGTTAAGGATAGAAACCATAAGTTAAACAGATACACTAGATTACCTTTGAAGTTGTATTTTTAAATATTTACTATGACTTTAAATAGTTTGTACTATTAAAATGATACATGTATTGATCAAGTTTTCACAGAACTTCCTGTTTTTCCCATTTTTACCTGGATCTTTGGAAGAATAACAGGGTCAAATACACCAGTTCAGATTATCTTATTTGTTCACATCAAGTGATTTGTGGAATCATCATAGGAATCAGCAGAAATTGGCAAGGACACTAGGCATAGAGCTGGTGTATTTAGGAAGAATAAGAAACACAGCTGCCTAACTTAGAGTTTTCAGTCCTCAGAATACCTAGATGTCTCCAATTTCTCCAGTCATAACAGGTCACTGTCACATTTAACACCTAAAGAACAATCTGGCCCTGGTCCCATTCAGAATGTTCAGACTTCTCCCAGTTTTCCCTTCCCAAATATTGCTCCACCTACTCCCAGTCCTTGTTAACCAATGTTTTCAACCTTTTATTGTACTGCCTGCAGTGGTACTCAAAGTGTGCCCATAGGCCCATCCGTTAATCTTGAGAAAGCCAACAAAGACCAGTTTTATATAACTTATTAAGAGCCTCGAATATATTAGAATCAAACTATAGCAAAAGAAAAGAACTTAAAATGAGGGCCGGCCGAATAGCTCAGTGGATTAAAGCGCCTGCAAGTAGGCACAGGGCCCAGGGGCTCAATCCCCCCCACACCTGCTGTGCCAGGCCCTACCCCTGGGACACGCTGAGAGGGCAATTGAGACTGGGCATGGTGGCACACACCTGTAATCCCAGTTCTTGGGAGGCTGTAAACAGGCAGATCACTACAAGTCCAATCTAGTAGTGAGACCCTGAACACACTGTAGACCTTTCTCTAAAAATACACACACACACACACACACACACACATACACACATACACACACCCAAAAAAAAAAAAAAAAAAAAAGAAGAACTTAAAATGAATCACACATCACTGCTCTTGGAATCTCAAGCCATGCCCGTGAAAAGATAGCCCAACAGCTGTTCTTTTCCTCCTTTTCTCTAGCCACCCGCCACTATCTGTACCCCACAGGAGAATCTTTGAACATTTTTTTCTTTCCTCTCAGACTCAGAGAGGGAGAGAACATCAGTTTCTGCTTCCAACCCTGCCTCCGATTCACCTCATAGTCAAATTCAGGAACAGCTGCAAAGATATTTTTTACTCCCACTAAGAATAACCTTCAGTCTCGTGATAGAAAGCAAGCCGACTCCTGATGGTCTTTATCTCAGAATCAAACATCCGTTCTGCTTCCTCATAACCAAAAGGTCTACTGAATTCACTTCCCTGAAACTGACTCTTCTACCTAACATGGATCAGAAAAGGGTCAGGTTTTGGCCCGCGAGACAGCTCTGGGACTAGGATCCCTGATCCTGTATGTCACACCAGCTCCACCCCCACGGTGCACTGAGCCAGCGAACAAGTCTGGGCATGGCGGCACATGCCTGTAATCCCAGCACTGGGGCAGCTGAAAACAGGAGGATCACTACAAGTCTGAGCTGCCTAGTAAGACCTTGTGCGTAATATATAGACGAAGAAAAAAAGAAAGAAAATGGTCAGATTTAATTTTCCACACTGAGCCTGCAGCTCATCGAGGTGTGACAATTGCAGGTTTCCACTGAGTAATCACACCCTGTTCCATGATTATTTGCTGGAGCATTTATTGGAGGTTTCCTTGTGGCACCAAGTAAAGTAGTTATCAAATACTTTGAAAGAGTCAGTTTGTGTTTACTGATAGATGAGATGTGTTCTTGAATTCCAAGGAAGCCAGTAAACCAAGTTTATGTACTTCCGTTCACAATTTTAACTACAATCTGGATAAAGGAAATGCTACAGAGAGCATTTTGTGGCTGTAAGGCGCAACCTGTGTGGCAGGAAGCTTTGGCCACACTTCAGGGATTATAGATGAAAACTGAGATTTAAAAAACTATGCAAGAAAGCTCAGAACTGAAAGAAAGTTTATGATACAATGTGTGATTTTCTTAGAAATGCATACAGAATAGCAATAAGTGATGGTGCATGCTCAGCACTTTTGCACAATGTTTTTTCAGCAGAGAGCTCCTTTATGATTCATGGGAGGTTAAATGTGCTTTGGAGATCTTGACTCAGTGAAAATGACAAGGAGGAGGGAACTCCTGTCTAGCCATTCAGCTGGAAGGAAGAACAGGGGAGCCAAGGGTTCTTGACGGAATAAACTGTCCTACTCGGCAGCCAGAAAGCAGACCTAGGCAGATAAATTGAGACCTGGGTGGAATGTTAAATAATGTCTGATCTTTCCTCCTAATTTTCTTGGCAAATGTTCCAAATTGCCTATCTTAATCTGTTCTTGCTGCTATAACAGATTATCTTCAACTGGATAATTTACAAGCCACAGAAATGTATTATTTATAACCAGGATAGGAATTTTAGAAGGAAGATGCCCATAGAATTAGTGTCCGGTGGTGGCTTATAGGTTCTGCCTTTGACATGTGCTCACATCATGCAAGGGGCACACAGGCTCCCTCAAACCTTTTATAAGAACACCAGTCTCGTGGTAGCAAAACCCTTATGATCAGATCACTCCTCAGAGGCCCCTTCCACTTAGAACTGTCACACTGAGAGTTAGGTTCAGCATAGCCTATAGCACCAGCACAGCCTGTGAGGTACCCTTGTACTCTACTTGCATTAAGAACTTTGAAAATGCACCTGTAGACATGCTTTTAATTAAAAATGTTTAGGGAAAAGGTCAACTGAAATTTGCTTGCTTTCAGGAAAGAAGACAATGGTCCCAAGGAGATAAATCAGGCCTAAATCACTCAGCTAGATCCAGAGCAGGAATCTCTCAAATCAGATCCTGAAGTAGTTCATTTCTTTCATCCCAAGTCTTTTTTTCAGTTTCCTTGGGACAGAACAAAAGAGGCTGAGTAGATATGATGAGAATTGTCCAACTGCTGCAGGCCCAAGTGACCTCTATATGCCTCACAGCAGTCACTCTGGCACCATGGCAGGAGGTGACATGCTGGTGAGGATGCTGCCCACTTCCTGCATGATGACCTGAAAGGTGCTGTGATTCCTTGCCCCTACTCTCAACAGATGTTCCACGAACACTTCTTGCTGAGCACCCACTTCGAGGGATACTGAGTCTTAACACCTAAATCCCAGGTAGACATGAACATGCCCCCACTGTGTGGTGACTCCCTAATCCAAGTAAGGAAGAAATGAGGAAGAAAACTGAGAAACATCAGTAGAGGTTTGAGGTTTCTTATGCTTTCCCCTTCCCACCCTGCTTCGTAGTTGCCATGTGAATTTAGAGACCCTTATAAAAATTTTTGCTCTGAGGCTTGGGGACCATCCTGGAAATGGGAAAGTGCTTGTTTTTCATCTGCAGTTTGCTGCACTGTGCTCCCCACAGATATATCAGCACTGCCAGGGCCTGGGGGGAGGATGGAGAGAGATGTGAAGGGGCAAAAATAGGACCAAGAGCAAAATCAGCCACAGGGACACTGAAGGAGCTTGGTAAGCGTCACCAGCCTTCACTAGAGGCCCTAGAACCTGCTGGGCACAAGCTGATTTGCTGGCAGCACTTTCTGCCCAAGAGACTACAGAGACTGTGGGTGGACCAGCTGTTGGGGAGAGGAGCCAGGGAGCAGCTGTGCCTCTGCAGTACTCCCTGCAGGGAGTCATACAGCACCCTTGCCAGGTGCGTGAGGTTCATCCCCTGAGCTACACAGAACAGACACAGTCGGGCCCGTACAGCTGGACACAGCCTCCCACTCCTGATTTGTCGGCAGCTGCCCAGCAGTGCCAATCCCCTCCTCTGCCTCTGCAGATTCTGGCTGCTGAGTGCACACACATACTGTTCAAGGAAACCAGTATCAGGTTAATAGAGGCACAAGATTTGGGTTTTGCTAGCAAAATGTTATGCCGTTGATTTGTAACTGTGCTCCAGAGTTGGAAACTGATGTTCTACAAAACTGAAAGGATTAATTCCAAAAGCACCTGTGTTCATATATCAGTGGCTTCTAAAGCTGCTCATCCTCTGCTCACAAAGACTGGTGGAATTACTTAAAATTTCCTTACAAATATCAGGTTGAGTTAAATATAGAATTTTCCCAAAACCATCCCAAATAGGTTTAAAGTAATACACAGAAGTCAGAAATAACACAGCCATTAAAGCTGGTGCTGAAGAGAGAACTTAAGTTTTACTGTGTGATCTGCAGTATCCTAGAACATATGAAGTTAGATCTAGAAAGAAAAAGAAACAGCAAGACAGGCAAAACATTTCCTCTCTCTAGGAAGTCACCCTGATGAACTTGGGAGTCACTCTTAGATGCATGTTTATCAATCCTTCAGCTTTTTGTCTTTCCTACTGGAGAGCCCATGCCATCCTAGTGGTGGTCCCCAAGACCAAGGCCATGGTCAGCATGATCCTTATCCAGGAGGTAGCAGGAGAGGTTGATACCTATAGACCTGTAGGTCCACCATGTGAGTTGTGTTGAACCTTCACTCTCCTGAAGAAGATCCTCCTAGTCTTATATTAAAAAGCCCCATTCTTCTCAGATATAAGGAAGGGAAAGAACTAAAAACATGAGATGGGGTATCTCTCTTATCACATTTACACATTTTGCTGACCCTGAAGGGAGATGTTGAAAACTAGTGACACATGATAAGCAACCAAGATAACTGAGGCCTACTCTAGGATCTTCGCAAGACTCTGGCTTAACATCACTATTTGTCTAAATGCCAAACACCTTAGACATAAAGTGGAACTGCTATTTTCCAACAACGATGGATATTCTAAACTTTAAATCCCTCTAGAATGTGAAAAAAATTGCATATTTTTATATAGAATTTTTTTTCCTGT